TAGACATGAAACATGGGAGTACCAGCCTACAATCCCACCACCAGAGAGTCTGGGAAGCATGGAGAATCCTAAGTGAGAATGCATGGTACCCTTGAGAAGGTGTATGGGACAGGATCTCCTGAGGGGAATAGTAGCATGGTGGGAGTTGATAGGGAGCTGAGGGAAAGAGAGCAGTAGAAGGGGAGGAGAGAGGAGGGCATGTGGGAGCAACACAGTTGAGTCAGGGGAAAAATAGATGAGAGCAGGGTGAGAGATACCATAATAGAGGGAGCCAATATAGGTTTAAGGAGAGATATGGCTCTAGTGAGATTTCCAGAGATCTACAAGATTACACTGATTGGCAATCTAACCAATAGTGGAGAGGCTACCTTAAATGCCCTTCCCTGATAATGTGACTGATGACTACCTTACATTCCATCCTAGAACCTTCATCTAGTGGCTGATTGAATCAGAGGCAGACACCCACAGCTAAACACTGAACTGAACTCCTGGAAACCATTTGTAGAGAGGGAGGAACTATGAGCAAAGGGGTCAAGACTGGGCTGCTGAAACCCACAGAATCAGATAACCTGACCAAGGGGAAGCTCATGGACCCCAGTCTGAGAAGCCAGCATGGGACTGTTCCAGAACCCCTAAACTTGGATGTCAGTGAGGAGGTCTCAGCATTCTTTGGGACCTTGGGCAATAGATCAGTATTTATACCTGGTTTCTAAATGGACTTTGGGAGCCCATACTATATGGCGGGATGCTCTCTCAGCCTGGACACCTAGGGTAGGACCTAGCACCTGCCCCAGGACAATATTACGGACTTTGGAGAGCCCACATGAATGGCCTCATCCTTGCTGGAGAGAGGAGTTGGGATTGTCTGGGTGGCTGGGGGGTTTGGGTGGCAGGGGAGGAGGGGAGTGAGAGGGATCTGGGTTTGACATGAGAAGCAAGCTTGTTTCTAATTTAAATAAAGAAACAGGTTTAAAAAAGTGGGATACAAAAGTAAATAGAGAATTCTCAATAGAGGAGTCCAAAATGGCTGAGAGACACTTACAAAGTGCTCAACCTCCCAAGCCATCAGGGAATTGAAACTCAAAACAGCCTAAAATCCCACTGCCAGAGAGTCTGGGAAACAGAACCTTTATCCAGTGACTTTTGGAAGCAGAGGCAGACTCCCACAGCTAAACACTGAACTGAACTCCTGGAATCCAGTGACAGAGAGGGAGGACTGGTGAGCAAAGGGGTCAAGATTGTGGTGGTTTGATGAACAGAAATAGCTGACCTGAACAAGGGAAGCTCTTGGACCCCAGACTGATGGCTGGGAGGTCAGAACGGGACTTATCTAGATCCCCTGAATGTGGGTGTCAGTGAGGAGGCCTAGGCAATCTATGGGCTCTTGGGTAGTAAATCAGTATTTATTCCTGTCATACAAATGGACTTTGGGTGCCTATCCCACAATGAGGTATGCTCTCACTGCCTGGACTCTTGGGGGAGGGCCTAGGTCTTGCCCTGAACGAAATGACAGACTCTGGAGATCCCCCATGGAGGGCCTCACCCTCCTTGGGTAATGGTTTGGGGATTGGGGAGTCTGGTTGGGGTGTGGGGGAGGAGGGGAGGGAAAGGGAGCTAGGACATGGAAAGCAAGCTTGTTTCTAATTTAAATAAAATTAGAAAAAAAAAGAACCTGGGACTAGATAGAAATGATTTTGAAGGCCAGTTCTTTGATAAAGTGGTCGTCTTTAGAAAGGAATTTATTCTTCATGAATGATAATTTCCCTAAACTAAAAAGGGCCATGGTTGGTTTACTTACTTCTTTCATTCAACAACTAATTGTAGAGATATTGCTACATGTGTAGCATGTTAGAGGACACAAGAAATAATAAAATAGTTTGTTCCCACAAAACTTAGTTAGGCTTCAAGAAATAAAAGCAGCCACATAAATAAAACCATTCCTAAGTTGTATGGCCTGGATTAGATGCTTAGAGACACAGAACTTGTATAGACATAAAACTTGTTCTGAGAATAATGGTTGTGTGGAAAGCATGGGAGTGACCCAAACCCCCTAAAAGTGAGTGTCAGTGAAGAGGCCTAGGTAATCTATGGAGCCTTTGGTAGTATTTATCCCTGGCATACAAATAGATTTTGAGTGCCCATCCCAAAATGAGGGATGCTCTCTCAGCCTGGACCCTTGAAGGAGGGCCTAGACCCTACCCTGGATGACATGACAGACTCTGGAGATCCATCATGAAGGGCCTCACTCTCCCTGGGGATCGATCGGAGTGTAGATTGGGTGGGGGAAATGGGGGGGCCTGGTGGAGAGGGATGGGGAGGAGGGGAGGGATAGGGAACTGGGATTGACATGTGAAACAAACTTTTTTCTAACTTAAAAAAGGAAGAGAAAAACTAAAAAAAAACCCTTAAGTTGTTTAGACAAATAATTATTTCATTAATTTTTGTAATTTCAGATGGAGACTGAAGAATAAAATTAACAAAATGCAAAAAATATAATCATATTTCATTATACTGATGTTTTAAATGATAAAAAACAAAGAAAAATCTTCCAAGGAAAATATATTTAAAATATGTAGAATATACTTATTTAGAGATCAACAAAACAAGTGATGGTTCATGCTAGAGAGGATATGGAGTAAGGGGAGCACTCTCTCCTCCATTGATGGTGGGGGTGCAAACTTGTACAGCTGCTATGGAAATCAGTATGGTGGTTCTTCGGGAAGATGGGGGTCATGTGTCTCATGGTCTAGCTATACCACTCTTGGGGGCATATACCCAAAGAATGACTCTTTCTACTACAGAGACTCCTGTTAAACCATGTTCATAATACCCAGAAATTGCAAACATCCTAGATGTCTTTCAATAGAAAAATGGATAACAAAAATGTGACACATCTACATAATTGAGTATTACTCAGCTATTAAAAAATAACATAACAAAATTTGCAGGCAAATGAATAGAACTAGAAAAAAACCTCTTGAGTGAGGTAACCCAGACCCCAAAAAATAAATATGGTATGTATTCACTTACATAGATATTAGTCAATGGTAATCAAACTACAATCCATAAAACCACAGAGGGTGGATATAGAGTAAGGAACTAGAGGCAACATATAGATCTTGTTAGGAAAGGGAAATAGAATAGATAATGATGGATTAATGGGTAAGGGGCTGTAATTGGAGGATCATGAGAGGGGGGGAAGGGAGCTGAGAGGGAAATATGGGGAGAGACAACTAGAATTAAGGGACATTTGAGGGGTAGTATGGAAAACTAATGCAACAGAAACTTCCTAAAAGATAACCATATATGAAGATGGTATAAATTAAGTTGCCAAATAACTGGGGAGACAGTTCCAACTGAACATCTCTCCTCATCAAATGAAATTTCCAGTACCAGGATTGGGTTATATCTAATTGAGTTTTTGACAAACCGGGTCCAATGGGAATCCCCAAATAACTCAGGCCCTTGCCAAGGCAATAGATTGTTCTCTGCAAACTGACAGGAGGAACCCACTGCTGAAAACAACCATTATGCGACTCATTGAAAATAGAGCTGCCAAGCTGGTGCCTACGTTAGCCTTCACCTCTATATTTCTGTATCCTTGGTATAGGAAGCTACTCTGTATGCTAATAAAAGAGAAATGTAAATACCAAGCCAACCACAAACCTTTGATCTACAGAGTTGTTATGCCTGTAAAACACGCTAAGAAATGATGTCACAAAGCTTATGGGAAGTTACCAATCATAGTCTGATTTGTCTTTAGGCTCAATCCATTAGATGTAGTCCATACTCAACAGTGTTTGTGTGACCAACAACCAGAGACTAGATAGCCCAGAGACCTAGAGTAAAACCAAATACTGATCTAACACAAAAATGAAACCGCAAAACATAGTGTTAAAAAATTCCTAATGATATTCTGCTGTACTCTGATTCAGCCATCATCAGAAAAACATATGCCTTCAGATGGGAACAAATACAGAGACCTACATCAGACATTATTCAGAGGGTGAGAGAGACCCTGGAACTCTCAGCCCTAAATGTGATGTATCCATCAAATTCCTCCTCTTAGAGCTCAGGGAACCCCAAAGAGGAGGAGGAGGCAGAAAGTGTATAAGAGGAGATGGAGAATACCAAGAAAGCAAGGCTCATACGAACTCACAGAGACTAAAGCAGCATCCACAGATCGTGAACAGATCTGCCCCAGGTACTCTGTGTATACATTATGTCTTCCAGTTTAGTGTTTTTCTGGGGCTTCCAAGTGTGTGAATGAGTGGGTCTCTGATTTACGTGCCTTCTCTTGGATGTTTTTCCTTCTGTTTGTTTTGTCTAACTTCATGTGAAGGTTTTTATTTTATTTCATTATATTTTATTTGTTAAATTTTATCATTATCTCTTAAAAGCCTGTTTTTTTTCTAAATGAGAGACAGAAAGGGAGTGGATCCTGATGGGAAGGTAAGTGGGAGATGAACTAGGAGGAGTAGAGGGAGGGGCAAACTATATCCAGGATATAGTATATGAGAAAAGAATACAACTTCAATAAAAGGAAAAAATAGTGCCCTCTTTTTTTCCTGTGGTTTCACTTACTTTTAGTTATTTTTAGTCGAAATATGTTAAAGGAAGATTTCAGAGTTTGCAAGTTGTGCATTGTTCTGAGCATAATGATGGAGGATCCTGCTGCTCTGCTCCACCCCATCTTTAATCCGAATCACTTCTTCATCTCTCGTATCTATCATGTACACACTGTCCTCTATCCCCTTACTTAACAGACATCCTGGTAGTCATCACTACTTCCTAGCTTCACATTGTCTGCAGATACTGCTCTTATTATCCATTTTCAGGCCTCAACTTGAGGGAAAGTCTTAGGATGTGCATCCTGAAGATAATAAGGAGCTACTAAACTTTATTATGGACTCATATTCTCATAGAAAACAGTAATTTGGCTTCAAAAAACACCGTATCCCCAATCCTTATATGCCCTTGGATCCTGAAGTTGTACTTACGTTTTTGTTTTTCTCCTGACTGGGTTCTTCTGGAGAAAGTTCTCCAATGAGCAGGGGCTTAAGGTACAGCTCCACAACGCTGAGATTCAGATGCATGGCCCGGAAGGCATCCTGGAAAGCAAAGATACTTGTTAGAAACTTGCAAAAGATGTGTTTGTCCTCAGATCTGTTACTTCCTTGCCCAACCTGTGCCCAAACTGGCAATAGCACAGACCCTGCCATTGAGCATTCTAAGCTGATTCATAAACTTTATCTTTGAGACCCTTCTGTAAGAAGATAAGGCTGGGGACCCACCCAGGGCAGGCACTGTTTATCTAGGGACAGGCAATTCCTTGGACATGGATTACATCACTGCTTCTTTTCTTAAGCCCTGGAAGGAAACTCTGCTTGTGTTAATTAGCTATGTGAGTCTTTGAAGTCCAGTATCCAGTTTCTTGTGAAAGTGTCTTAAACTTAGGCATGCAGTAAACAAGACTGTCTACACAAATTCCATTTTCTTTTAAGGGCTCCCTTTTGGCTCTTGACGAAGGCTCAGAAGAATGAGGCCTCTTCTATTAGTTATTCCAGACAACAGTAGATTAAATTTGATAGCAACACCTTAAAATAAAGACACAAATGATTGGGGGAGCACAGTCCTTGAGCCCTGGATTGCCTGAAATAGTATTCTCTCATCTGTATTCAGCATTGAAGGACTCTCAAAACTCCATTGAAATAATGTTGTTAAGTAGTAACTCTACATCACTATGAGAAGCAGTGGAGTTCCTACATCCTGTTTATGTCTGGAAGTAAAAGACTTTTTCCTCCCAAGTATTTTTATGGTTTCTTTTGGGAGGCAGTTTACAAGATGGAGATGATTAGCTTCTTGATATTATGGCATTAAGGTTGTAGGGATTTAAACTAAAGAAATATAGCCAAAGTTGCAACTTGAATATATATGGGTGGGATATAAATACTCTGGAGCAGTGCCTGTTGCACAATATAGGTCACAAAGAGCCAACCTTCCTACAACCTAGTTCAGGCTTTGCTGTTTACAGACTGTGCATGTGTGGACCTTATGCATCGTCACCTTACATATATTTTTATATTTCCTTTCCTAAGTGGTAGTGATAGTTGCCACTCAATTCATAAGTTGTTATGAAGCATGGATGAATTAATTAGGATGCTGATTGACATATACTAATTATACAGTACTTTTGTTATTGTTTTTCTTTTAAAAGAAAACTTTTAAAAAATTTTACATACCAATACCAGGTTCCCCTCTCTACCTTCCTCCCACTCTCCCCACCTTTACCCTACCCCATCCCCCACTCACTCCACAGAGAGGGTGAGGCCTCCCATAGGGAGTCAACAATGTCTGTGAAGACAGGACAAGTCCCTCCCCCTGTATCTAGACTGAGCAAGGTATCCCTCCATAGGGAATGGACTCCAAAAAGCCTGTTTTTCAATACAGGGTTTCTTTGGCTGTCCTGGAACTCACTCTGTAGACCAGACTGACCTCAAACTCACAGAGATCCATCTGCCTCTGCCTGCAGAGTTCTGGGATTAAAAGCATGTGACACCACTGGCTGACATATACAATATCTTTAAAAGAAGATTTATCTTATTATCAATTATGTGTATTGACATGTCTGGGTCTATGCATATGATTGTGAGTGGTTGCAAAGTCAAAAAGTGGACATTGGCACTCCTGGAGCTGAAGTTATATGCTATTGTAAGCTGCTGGATATGGGTGCTTGGAACTGAGTTCTACCAAAACAACATCTACTCTTTACCACAGAACCATTTTTTTCTAGGCAGACCTCACTTTACAGTGCTTGTTAACCATCTTTATTATATGTCCTACCAGTGATAGTAATTCACTATCTTCTCTTTAATGCAGAAATTCATCTTTTTATTATTTTACTCTAACAACCAATATGGAGTGGGCTCTGATTATGCAAGTGAATATATTCAATCCTAGATCTAGAATACCATGGAACTTTGCATAAGCCTATCTTTGAGGAGGTGCATATATGATGGATATGGTAATTAGAAGTATGTAATATCAACTTTGTGGATTGACTTCACCAAAAGGTCCATAGATAGAATGCTAGAATTCTTCCAGACTTTATGTCTATTCTACTGTCCATACTTCTCACAAAACCCTTGGACAACAGTGGGCTACATTGTTTAAAGATATTTAAAAATTTTCACATTCTGTGACAATACCAAAGCGTAGTTCTCTGAACCAGGCAAAGAATTATCCAGTGGTGAAGGGAGTAGTTTATATATCTCATGATGATCTGTGTGATTTAACCATCAGCCTGATGTTTCTGAGCAGGTTAGAATGGGAAAGCATACTGGTGTGTCAATTTTCAGAGTCCAAAAGAATATAATACAATTTCAGAACATGTAGCACACATTATAAGTTTGTAACCTAACGCAATTTCAGCCCATGTTGACAATCTATTCTTCTGTGTCCCTTGTTACTTTTGAACCTGAGGGAATGATCTGAAGTCTGTACTCTGGGGACAGATACTGAGGAGTCACAAAGTTTTGTAGAACAGTAAGCATGCTGATTTGCAGAACCCTTTTCATTGTATTGTTGAGGAAGTACAACAAAGTTTATTTAATCTTAAAGTACTCAGTACTTTTCTAATAGACTGTATACTAAGTTGTGAAATCCATACTTGGAAGCTTGAAGAAACAGGTTCTATTACCCACATTCTTGGGCAAGTATGTTCTCGCTGAAGGAGGTGGAGTGAAACGAAGGGAGAAGTGGAAAGTGCCAGTATTTACAGAATTCACCCCATGTACAAGGAGCACCAGCTCACAGCTACCAGCTCATTCCTGTGAGGATTTATTGCTTCTATTGTACAGAGAAACATCAAGCTTTTGGGGGAATATGGGACAGAAATCTTTCCTCCACAGGCCATATGGAGCAGCAGAGCTAATGTTTGAATTTGGGGCTAAATATAGTGATAACACCCTAAAGATCCACCCCAGCCTTCAACATCTATAACCCTTTTCCTGGAAGATGTGTTGTTAGATCACTTTGTGATGATACTAAAATCAGTCTGTATCTTCTTGACAGGCGGTGACGGAGTCTCCTAGGTGTTAGCCCTATGAAGCACTTTGGCTCTAATTCCATCCTGCCTCCTCAGGCTGAACCTTCATAGACCATATTCTCGACTGGAGCCTTGTATTAAATAAAATTCTGTTCCCTTTTAGAGTTCTGAAGGTTTACAGATTTTATACTCTTCCCTCCACTTCCTTCTTCCATTTTTCTTCATATAAAGTTCTTTCTCATAATTTTATACCAATATTAGATATTGTTACCCCTTGAACATGCAGGAAAGTTATTCATGAGTACCCTGCAAGCTCATGATGTTTTGTTCATCTCTTAAAGAGAGTACATATTTACCTATTTTGTGTGTGGGGGCACACATAGGTGTCAGAGAGCAACTTGTGGGAATCCGTTCTTGCCTTGCACCAATGTGGTTCATCACAGGGATCAAATCCATGATACCAGAGTTGGCAGCAACTGTCTTTACCCATGGAGCCATCTCATTGATTCTAAAGCTGAAACTGTGTACTTGCGGTTCCTTTGGTGCATTTTGGAAGCTGAGACTTTGTGCTAGGTCTCCAATAATGCAGACCTAACATCTATCGCTGTTCCTGAAATACAACATGTAGTGGATACACCCCTGATGAGTAAGGGAAAGATGAGAAGCAGGTAGGCAGCACAGTTCTGCGTGAGGAGTTGGGATGATTGAAGTATGAATAATATGCTGCTCCCATTTTCCTTATACTCTGTTTTACTCCCTTCTCAATCATCACTCCGCTCTTCAAGATCATTATGAGTTGCATAACATTGTGGCTCATCCTGAAACTTATATTTTCCAAAAAACATATCGACAAGACCTGGATATTGAATACTACTTTATGTTTCCAAGTGCTTTGGGAGATGCTGGCTATTATTCCCTGGGTCTGTGATTGTTTATTGCTTTACTATAAAAGCAATAGAATTTCCCATGGAAAAGAGAACATTGAAAGTATGGAAGATCAGAAAGCCTCAGCCAAAATTCTGACTTTTAGTTAAAATACTGATGTATAGATTGCAACCTGTATAAAGACACCAGGCTAAGATGGGAAGGTGGCTTGAAATGCAGCAAGTGTTTGCCAAACCTGCTGTCTAAGGAACTGCAGTCACCCCAAAACAGCCTGTTTCCTAACTCCTAGCACAGACAATGGAGAGTAGCAGAGGGGTGGGCTGCTTCATGTTAGGAAAGCTATTCGAATTTTAACTAACCATTTTGTCATCATCATTACTGTTGTTGTTGTTGTTGGCGTATGTGTGTGTGTGTGTGCACGTGTGCGTGCACACGTACTCACACGCACACGTGTATGATGGCACATATGTGAAAGCCATGGGACAACATTTGAGAGTCAATACTTTCTCTTTTTACTTGCTGGATCAAGCTTGGTGCCTTTGCTGACCAGGCACCCTCCCACTCAAGCTTCAGTTTTTATGTAAAAACACACAAACCACCTACTCGTCCCCATGTGCTCACTGTTTCATTATTTACTCAGGTGTTATGTAATCTATGCAGGACTTAACCTGGTGTCTCAGAACTTAGTCTTTGCAATCAGATATCAATAAATTATTTATCATTATTGTTTACACAGTGTTAGGTCTCAAAGTTGGGACAGACAGTTAAAACTTAACAGTTTGTCTGATAAAGATTGAAATGTCACAAAAGACGTTGACTAAGAGACAAACATAAACTCATAAGACACAGTAGAATGTTTCTTTTCTCACATAGTAGCTCGCAGACTTATTAGCAAACCCAGCACTTGGGAAGTGGAGGCAAGAGGCTATTGTTGGCTAACTAGTGAGTTCCAGACAGTCTGGGGTATATGAGTTCTTGTTTTTAAAAAAGAAGACAAATCTTAAGCTTGTATTCCCTTGGATAATCCCCCTTCTCCTCTTCTGCTTCCTTTTCAGAACCTGTGTGCTCCAAAGCTGTGATTTGCACAAGCCTGGAGTCCAAATGGAGCAAGAGTTGTAAATAGGTTGAACTATGGGGAGAATGCATCTTTGCCCTCACCTTGGGAGAGAGCTGCAACCTGGGAGGGTAAGGTTTCAGGTGGCTGTGTCTCCACAGGAGTTCCTATTGTCACCAGAAGGCCTTCATTTGTAATAACTTTGCTTTCTTCTGAACTGCAGCCTCCTCTCTCTGTCTCCCTCCCTCTTTTTCTCCCCTCCTTGCTCTCCTTCCATTTACAGCAACCTGAATTCCTTAAATTCTTTACCAATTCCTGTATAATTGAAGAAAATACCCATCTCTACCTCTGGGACCATTAACTGCCTAGGGATACTCAGGTAGGGTGAGACTGCATATGCCCCTTCCTCTTACCTGTCATGGTTCATTTTCATCTCCTGAAACCTGGACTCTCTTCTGTGTGTCTTTCTCAGACATCAATCAAGCCTGCACTTTTGCCAGTGTTACGCTATGCAGAGGAAGTAGATGCCCATTTTGCTTGGGTACTTACTCATGACTAGTCCCATGGGTACCATCTGTCTGCTTACACCCTTTCTTCCCTTTACCCCAGCCTTGCCTCTGTCAGCTCAGCGCATCCTAACCTACTTGGCTTCTTCCTTTTGCAGTTGTACGTGGTGCCTTTTCTCTCTAGGAGCCCTCCACATAGTGGAAGAGGACTCGGTGTATTACCTGTAAGCTTTTGTTATCTCTTCCTTATATAAGACTTGGCTGTATGTGGAATGTATGTGTGTGTGCTTTCTTGTGAGTGTGTATGTGTGTGCATGTGTATATGGAGGCTAGAGGTTGAAGTCAAGTGTTTTCTTCAGTCACTTTCCACTTTATTCTTGGAGAAGGTGTCTCCTAGGATAGTGCCATTCCCTGGCCAGCAGCTCATTAACTCAGGTAGGCTGGCTGGTCAGAAGCAATGTTCAGGAATCTGCCTGTCTCTGCATCTCTAGCTCTGGGATTACAGGTGCATGTTTCTGTGCCCAGCATTGTGAGTGAGTACTGGAGATCCAAACCCAAGCCCTCAGGTTTGGATGGTAAGAACTTTATTGACCAAGCCATCTCTCCAGTCCTGTCGTTGCTTCTTTGAAGGTGTGATGTTGAGAGATGAGCAGATCGACCTGCACTTGCTTTCTTTATTTCAAACCTTGCAGCCTATGTATCCTCAGTTCTTCCTGTTGAAGCTGCTATTTAGTGACTTCTCCTCAATAAACTCACTTGCATGGAAAGTCCTGAGCCCCAAACTCTGCTAATTGGCCCTGTTATATAAGTTTGAAATTATGTTGCTTGTAAACAACAAGATAACTCAAGCATGCAATAGCAGAGACTTACATGTCAATTTTGTTTCATAGGTTTATTAAACTATTGTGGAGAGCATTAAAATCTATCCCAGAAGAAGAAGAATAAAATGCAACAGCTCTCACTTGTTGAGTATTTAATCTCTGCTGAGCAGCATAGGGGGCATTTTTTTTTTGGTTTTTTGAGACAGGGTTTCTCTGTATTGCTTTGGACAACTCCTGGAACTTGCTCTGTAGACCAGAATGGCCTTGAACTCACAGAGATTCGCCTGCCTCTGCCTCTTGAGTGCTGGGATTAAAGGTGTGCATTACAAACACCCAGCTGGGGGGGGAGCATTTCTTTTACCCCCACTGATTTTTTATAATAAAACCAAGATTAAGGTATTATTATCTCTTTTTATCAGAAATTGAGACTTGAAGAACTTAAACTGTCTCCCTGGGACCTCCTATTAAGTGTGGATATCTGATGGCCACTGAGCTTATTCCTTTCTGAAACCTAGAGTTTTAAACATTAGACCACATTCTTAACAAAGCTTCAGAAAAATGAACAAGTGCTTTAATGACCCCATGGTACTGTAGCCATTGCTTAGGTACTCTTATCCACCTTTTAGGAGGCCCAGAAAGGAGTTTCTATGTAAATAGGAGAAGGTTGCCCTGTCTGTGCCAGTGCAGCCTTGGGTCTAGTAATATAGAAATTACCCTGCAGTCCCCAGCTGTCAGTCAAGAAAATTGTGCTAATACCTCCTAATCTGTAAAGTGAGCATTTAGCCTTGGGCCTTTGATCTTGGTGTTCTGTTACTAATTAAAAGGCACAAATTATAATCAGAGTTTCTATGCTGATAGTAAACTAACTAAAAGTAACAATCACCTACAAGGATGTGGATGCTAAACTTTGTTGAATGTTAATGAATTCAATTACTTGAGATACTTTGAATGCATTCACTCATTTACCATAGACCAGTCAGGTGGGCAATGCTATTTCTGTTTTGTAGATCATGGAGAAGAAACTCTGGGCATTTCAGCAATTTCCCTAGGTTCATACAACCCATTCCAGTGTGTGTGTTCTCCATCTTCTGAGTATCCAGCAAGAATTGCCCTGCTTCTCCTGTCTCTCTCCTATCATTCCTGAACCACCTTTATTTTATTTGAATGCTTTTGGGTTCATTTTCCTAATGTATGTGGTTGAGTGTGATTTCCTGACACCTAGGATGCCCCCTCCCTGTTCCTGATGAAAGACTGAACATTGTTTAAAAACCTCATCAGAACTGGAGCAGTGTGGATTTAGCAGGGCCTGACTGGACATATGTTCATTGGACTGAACATGAAGCCAGTAAGATGACACAAGAACAAGAGCTAGACAGTGAAGAGGGACAAAAAGAAGGGAAAGATGTTGATGTCATCAAAATCTAACTTCACAAATCAGGTGTCTACCATGTCCTATTTCTAGAACATGCCATCTGCAGATAGGTGTCTTCAGTCCTATGTGTAGAAACCAGGTTGGAGATCTTCTTTACCAGTGTGTGAAATGAATGAACACAAAAATCTCGTCTCAGCTTAAATTCCTGTTCTGCTGTTTACTGATTGCCTGACCTTGAGCTTGCTAGGGGCTCCAACTCTTTGCTTATCTGTACTGTGACAGAAAACAACACTTTCAGAAAATAACACATCATGCACAGAATATTTACAAAGGGATTTCTAAAGTTAGGATCTTACTAACTAGGTAGTTTTAGCTGGCTTTGAACTCCTTGTTTAGACCTCACTGATCTTGAACTCACAGAGATATGCCTGCCTCTGCCTCTTGAGTGTTTGTACCACCATGCCCAGATTAAAAATATCATTGAATGTACTGAAAGAACCCTGCAGACTTCCTTATCAAACATTGAACGGAATTTAAAGTATTTTCTCATTAGTATGACTTATGTATTTTGTGTGTGTGTGTGTGTGTGTGTGTGTGTGTGTGTGTGTGTGTGTGTGTATGAACTCATGCATGTGGAGGTCAGATAACAACTTGCAGGAGTTGGTTCTCATCTTCTGCTGTGTAGTTCCTGGAGGTTGAATTCAGATTGTCCAGCTTGGTGGAAAGTCTCTTTATCTGCTGAGCTATTTGCTGGTTCTAACTTTTGTTTTTATTTTTTAAGGAACCAGATATACAGGACTTTATAGTCAAAACAAAACAAGTTGAAGCTCAGCATTGTCACTGTCAATACCTGCTGTGCATATGGCTTACCTCTGAGTATCAAGTACATCATCTGTGATGTGGGAATAACATGCACACCCCTGGCAAGACTACCTAAGGTGGTTCATTTGAATGCATCTGTAAGTGGGAATTGCATCATCACTCTTGTCAAACTGCTTGAGCTACGCTATGCAAAAGAGAACTGTGAACTTTCCCAGTCCAGTAGTTAATAAGACTTTCAGTATTATTAACAATGTTTGATGCCCATGAGATGAATTGCTTTCTGTAAATTCCTTTTTAAATCAAAAACATGCCTCCCTCCAGATTTTACTCATTGTTATTTTACTCATTGTTATTTATAAGACAGTTATTCTACTCCAAGAAGAAAAAACAAAATAAAACACCAAAGGGGGGAGGGAGATAAAATCCAGAATGCAAAAACACAATCTCCACCACAACATTTGAATGTATCCCATATTGGGCAACAACTAGACCCTGAAACCCCATTTTGCTTCCAGATTCTTGCTAGATAGGTATACTGAAAGATTGGTTTAAGAGAAAATAGTGACTGTGGAGCCCAGGCACGTACTTCAGTGTTTTTGGGATGAGAGCCAAGATCTCAGCTACTCAGCAGCAGGGAGAGGGACGGGGGGGAGAGACACAGACAGAGAGAGAAAGAGGAGGACACATGGCAGTTCTTACCGTGGCATCTTCCCCAGCATAGTGGTTGAGCACCCGATGCCCACCTGGATGCTTGCTTGCCCAGTCAGTCACATTGTAAATCTTACGATCAATCACCAACCACTGGTCGGTCTCCTTATTGTGTCTCTGGATCTCCTGCCAGGTGTACACGTTGAGACATTTCTTGAGCGTGTCGCTCTTGCCATTTGCCTCCTGCTTTTCATAGACCTCCGCTTTCCCATTTGCTCTCGGTTTCCCATTTGCCTGAAGCATGTCATGTAGACATGGCTGACTCCTTTCAACAAGGCTCTCCCTGTCCTCAAACTTTTCCTCCAACTTCATCGTCCCTGAATCCCCAAGATGATCTAGGTTGACTCCTGAATTTCCTAGTTCTATAACTGGGCCATAAAATGACTCCTTCCCTCCTGTTGCATTACTCTGCAATCCTGATGCCTGCACAGAAAGCCCTTTGGGCTAAATTGTCTCTTAAGAGCCTGACAGTGAGCACCTGCCCAGCCTGGCCCTGTTTCGGTCGGCAGTTAATCTTTTCTGCACCGAAGACAGCTAGCACACATTTCTCTAGTCACCTCTCTCCTGCTGACTGTTCTCTTTGCAGCATCCTCCTTCATCATTAAATGACCCAGAGCACAGATCTCGAGCCAATCGCAGGGTGAATGTATTAGAGGCCACACCCAGTGGGAGGAGTGGTTAAGCTCTGGTTTCTGCTCTTCCAGTGACATCACTGTGGGTTGGGTTTACCTGTTCTCTGGCGACCTTTAGATTTGTAAATTCAACATGTGAACAAAAGCTTTCAGAATTTCCTTGATGACTGGAATCATTGCTTGGATTAGGTAAATATTCTTTGGACAGCTGTTATCTCGCCCGAGGGCTTTCAAATCTTTTAAACCACCCCTACTTTTTTTTAAGTGTCATTTTTTTCAAAAGGGGGGTGTAGACTAAGTATATGATGTAAATGACTATCCCATTTCACTTCAGTCCCCTTAAAATCTTTCTGAATCTGCAAACACTTCTAAAGGCCATATGAATGACACATGGTGACTTAAAGTCCGTGTCACCTGTTTCATCTCTTAATCCTCTCATCCACGTCTTTCCGGTGAGGCTTGTTAGTGCCCCATTTTCCAGCTTAGAAAACAAAGGGCACAGAGTCCAGATAATATCACCATACCACAGTCACACCATGAAAAGCAAACTGGAGGAAGCCAGATGTGTCCACCTCTAATTCCACGTCTTTTCTTCTCTGCCTACATCTGGGTTCTAAATTTGCGGCAACTAAATGAGATGGTTTGGAAACAAAGCAGAAGAGGAGATTCCCAAGTGATGGTGAGAAGCTTCTGAATTTTGAGAAAAGAAATATAGCAGAAGCTCACATTTGGGGAACAGACCTGAGTTTTCAACACAATTCAAAATTGTTACGAAAGGGATTTATTGTACGGATATGTGCAACTGCCAGAAGTGATCTCAGCACTCTTCTCTATGGAAGAAGAATGCCTGTTTTGTGTGTTGAATAAGATGTTAATATTTTAAAACAAAACCTCATGGAATTTTGGTTGGTAGGCACTCATGACTGCAATATTATTAATACAAAAGAAAAGGTATTCAACAAATTGTTCTTTAAAGAAATTTCCTATGGGGAAGGGGAAAACAAGTTGTATTTACCGAACTATGTATGGTGGGAAGGAGGTATGTTAAAGTGTTGGCCTACTTATCTTTGGATTGCAGGGAGTTATGTGCCATTCTGCTTTACAATTTTATGGCACTTTGACAAATTAATGGGTCTTTAAAATAATTTTGAAATAAAAATTTTAAAGGAACCCCCCAAATAGCATAAGTTTATACACTAAATAGAATCATATTTCATCTTCATCATTTACTAGTTATGGGATATCTCTTAGATTATATCTTTGCATTTTAGTTTTCCAGCTGTCAGTGGAAGGAAAAGCACATTTTTCATGACTTTATTAAGCCAACACCAGTGCTGTGGTATTTCCATAAATGTCCATAGTTCCCATATTTCTGAGTGTAGTTTTTCTAAACACAACAAATGTGCCTGTGTGGAATATCTGCAGGTCATATATATAAATTCCGGAGAACCAAAGAAGTACAGTATTAGGGAAATGTGGGAACAACAGTCAGTTGAGAGCATTAGTTGAGGCAAGTCAGCTCTCCGGGGGAGTGGTTTGGCACATTTTACAAGCTGGAGAAAGCATTGTTTTTATCAAATCATGCCGTGAAAAATAATACCACTAAGTAAGTACCTAAGTACCTACAGACATTATACAACCCTCATATCCACCCTTCATACCCTTCTCAGCTTCTGGAAGCTTCAGAATGCACTGGTATTGGGGGTATGCTGGCAATCGTCCTCAGTAAAATTGTTCTCAAATGAGTGTTCTTTTTCAGAGTGGATGTAAGTCTGTCAGTATATGGGGATCTTTGGACTGCTTGGATCCTTCTGAAACTTGGAGGGGCTTGTCCTAGAGGTACACAAAGCTGGCTCCTTTTTAGTTTCTGCTGTTGACTTCCTCACAATATTCTGACTCTTCCTTAGGGGGACAGTTAAGTATAAGCTTCATATTCAAGGTAATCCTCAAGCTGATTATGATTACAAAAAGATGGGTACAACCCAAAGTTTCCTGTAAGGATAAGATCATGAGATATTAATCTTACAAAGAGCTTTGTGAAAGCTGCCATTTGTTGCCAGGGAATGGTGGATGAGTCAATGGTTTATTTACAAATCCATTCATCCAGGCTATATTGAGCAGCTTCTGTGAGTTAGTATTGTGCTAACCTTCAAAATCAACTGACCCCTGACATCATCACTCAACAGGACATGACTGATCAATGCTAGGTACTGAAAGGACTCAGAAAGCATCTCAGAGCCATTTGGGTTCAACCTTCAGAACATGGGTGCCCCCTCCTGTCCTTGCCCAGCTCAGAAGTCATTTATTTTTCTTTTTATTTAAATTAAAAACCATCTTGCTTCACAAGTCAATCCTAGCGCCCTCTCCCTCCCCTCCTCTCCCACTCCCCACCAATCCCCCCAACCCCCACCCAATCCTGCTCGCTCCACTCCCCAGGGAGGGTGAGGCCTTCCATGGGGGATCTCCAAAGTTTGTCATATAACTGGGGCAGGACCTAGGTCCTCCCTCGTGTGTCCTGGCTGAGTGAGCATCCCTCCATGTGGAATAGGCACCCAAAGTTCACGCCTATGTCAGGGATAAATACTGATCTACTACCTGAGGCCCCCCTTAGATTGCTGATACCTCCTCACTGACACCCAAATTTAGGAGGTCTGGATCAGTCCCAGCTGGCCTCTCAGCCATCAGTCTGGGGTCCCTGAGTTCCTCCTTGTTCAGGTCAGCTGTTTCTGGGGGTTTCATCAACCCGGTCTTGACACCTTTGCTCATCACTCCCTCTCTCTCTGCAACTGGGTTCCAGGAGTTCAGTTCAGTGTTTAGCTGTGGGTGACTGGCTCTGCTTCCATCAGTCACTGGGTGAGTGTTCTGTTTCCCAGACTCTCTGGCAGTGGGATTATATGCTGGCACTCCCCTGATTCATGTCTAAAATCCATATATGAGTGAATACATACCATGTTTCTTTTTTGTGACTGGGTTACCTCACTCATGATGGTTTCTTCTAGTGCCATCCATCTGTCTGCAAATTTCAAGATGGAGCTTTCTCAAAAATCGACCACATACTTGGCAACATATCAAACCTCAACAGGTACAAAAAATTGGAATAACTCCATGCATCTTATCAGACCACCATGCATTAAAATTAGAATTCAACAACAGCACAAATTGCAGAAAACCTACGAACCCAAGGAAATTGAATAATGCACAATCGCACCATTCCTGTGTCAAAGAAGAAATAAAAAAAGAAATTAAAGACTTTCTAGAATTCAATGAGAATGAAGACACAACATACCCAAACTTATGGGACACTTTGAAAGCAGTGCTAAGAGGGAATTTCATAGCACTAAGGGCCCACATGAACAAACTGGAGAATATTTACACTAGAGAATTAACAGTACTTGAACTTTTTTATAGAGATAGGCAACCTGGGATTATAATCAAGAACTTCTAATGAAATAAATCTGGAAAAACTCTTTAACTTCATGGTGCCTCATTTTAATTAATCAGTAACTAACTTTGAGATAGGTTCTGACTTTGTATCCCAAGATTGTGTGGAAGTCACTATGATGTCCAGGATGGCCATGAACTCAGGATTTTAATGCATCAGATTTCTAAGTGGTGGGATGACAGTGTGTCACGACATCTAACTTAATTTCCTCATTTTAGAAACATAGATTATGGGGCTTCAGACTTTTCTTAGGGCTGAAGAGCCCATCCTGTTCTTGAATATGACCCCAATCTGGACTCTTAGAACCAGTGTTTTGTGGCTCAACTCTATAGCTCCAACTTCAGGAGATTCTAGCTTCCTTAGGTAACTGTACTCATGCATGTACATACACATAATCATAAAGAATATTTTTTAAAGAGAAACATGGATAAGACTCCTAGCAATAAAAAGAAATGTGGATGAGACTACTGGGAATAATAATGTTTCATAGCTTTTTCTTTTTTTATTATTTTAATTTTAAGTAGCTTGTTTTACATGTTAATCCCAGTTCCCTCTCCCTCCCCTCCTCCCTCTTTGTGTTATGGACACACGATGTCTGTTTGTATGCCAAGGATGAAAACTGATCCACTGCCCATGGCCCCATAGGTTGCCCAGGCCTCCTCACTGACTCTCACATTCAGGGGGTCTGGATCAGTCCCCATGCTGGCCTCCCAGATGTCAGTCTGGGGTCCAAGAGCTCTCCCCTGTTCAGATCAGCTGTCTCAGCTGGTTTTGCCAGCTCATTCTTTGCCAATTTGCTCATTGCTCCTCTCTCCGTGTCACTGGGTTCCATGGGTTCCGTTCAGTGTTTAACTGTGGGTGTTTGCCTCTGCTTCCATCAGTCATTGGATGAAGGCTCCAGGATGGTTATGGACATCAAGTTCATTATCAGGAATGGGTATTTGAGGTGGTCTTTCGACTATTGCTTAGCTTGCCAGTTGGTGTCATCCCTTTAGATCACTAGAGGTCACAATGGTGCCTGATCTGTCTTCTAACCTATGAATCTCTCTTCCCCCTATTCTACCTCCCACTCAACCTTCCTGTTCCCCCATGACCTACTCTCTCTTCCTCTTCTACCCCTCTCTTCTTCCCAGCTCCCACTCTCCCCCCACCCCTCTCCGTGTTCCCAATCTGTTCAGAAGACCTTGTCTCATTCCTCTTCTCTGGGGTACCATGCATATCTCTTAGGTTCTTTCCTGTTTCCCAGACTCTCTGTCAGTGGAAGTGCAGACTGGCACTATCCTGATCCATGTCTAAAATCCATATATGAGTGAGTACATACCATGTTTGTCTTTTTGTGACAGTTAAACATGTGAATTCATGTGCAGTGGTTAAGACAAGGCAAGACAAATTTGTTTTTTCAAGTGTATATATTCATGTGCTTGTTAATGAGTGTGAAAGTACACACATGAATGCTGCTTTCTGCATTGACTGTACTTATTTGCATTCCTAGCAGCTGCAGATGAGCCATCCTCTTCCTC